TCACTGTTCGCCTTCACCTTATTCAAGTAACACATCTCTCAACACGATGTGTGCAGTGTGAACAATCAACCTCTGCGCACCTGAACAAACGGCTTTTTCGATTGGCCATTTTTCCAGAAATGCTCACAATTCCGAAAGAATAACATTGTTGGCGTGCTTGTAATTTTGACAGCTTTCCAGAAATGGAACGCGACACTCGAGAATACGGAAATCATCCGGATGTAATTTACTTTCACCTACTTCAATTGGGCTTAATCTTTGCTTGAGCGTACGCTGAGGTTTAGGCTTGAATTAATGCTCATTTCTAGGCTGAGAGTGGCTCGGGTGATTTTTGCAAGTTGCGTTCATGTTATGGTCGTGATTTGTTTTGACGGTAGTGTTTGTGCTCCACCTTAACGACGTTAATTTCGATTCGATGACGAAAGTGCGCTTGTGAGCTTTCAGTTACCAAATTTTTGTAGTTTTCAAATTGAATTCAACGGTTATACGAATCGGCTAATATCTGGGAAGTTTACTGCTCGATGGCTGATCTCGTTCAGTTTCAACGTCACTAGTTTCACGCTTCGACTCGGCTACGGCATCCAACCGCCGATGTTGTGAGAAAAAAAATGAAATAAGTGTTAGTGATAAAAGCAAAAGTGAGAAAAAAAGCAGTGCAATGGGCATTGGTGTTTCGCAAGCAAATGTGAGCACTGGTATTTCACAAGCAGAGCTCAACAACCGCGTCATCAGCCTTGTTTGCTTGTAACGTTTTTGTTGGAATGTAGTATCACCGTCGAATAATTGTGAATGAATTGTTTTGTCTCGTGATTTTCCGTTAACGTCGTGAATTGCGCGAGTTTAGCTGAAATTATGATTATGGATGATTGAAACGAATTCAGAAATATCAGATCGTTCAAGATGAATCGACGTGGAGGTCATCAGAAGTATGATGCTAAGAAGATAACGATGCGAAGGTGCATCATGATGGACAATGACTTAGCACCGCGTTTTGATGATGACGATGAATATTCTTCGCAGGTCACTATTAACTTCATTTCGTATTTTAATGCATTTCATAAGTGATCATGCTTATCATTCGTATGTTTATTTTCCCAAGAGACTGCATTTGAAATGAAGTATTTTATTCCCATCAAGGAAATTTTTATTGAAGAAATTCATCTACCAGTCTCTGAGCAGTATATACCATTTGATAATTTTGATCATCCAAATGAATTATTGTGACTGCAAAATTAAAATGGTTTAAAAATAAATCTCAGTTATATTTCTGTGAATCTAAGTTGGTTTATCTTCTTTTTCAGCCCTCTTATAACGAAGCAAGGTACTCGTCCAATCAGCAACGTGATAAAGGGTATATTAGCCGAGGCGGTGGTTCCTATCGCGGAAGAGGTTAACTGATCAGTATCATCTACCTTTTGATATTTTAGCCACTCTTGTCATTCAGTTATCAATCACGCGATATAACAACTCAAATAATGACAAATTGAAGGAGGTCGCGATGCAGCATCGATGATTCGTAATTATTTGGACAAAAGACGCGATAAACAATTGCAACGTGGCACTGCTGGAGCTGTCTCAACGGTCATAATGAATTTAGTTCGGGTATGCATTCTTTATCGTTGCATCATGGAGTTATTCAAACAGTTTCGCCCCTCCTTGACGAATTCTATGAACGGTCGATGGCTATGTGATTGTTTAAATTCATTTTCTATCACTTATCAAACTTCCTCGTATCTGTCTTTGGGAATACTTTGGACCATATACGTTCATTGCCTATAACTTCAAACTCCCTGATTGTGCAGAATTGTACCATTATTCTCAGTGTTCGATTTCAATTTATGTTGTGATTGATAACCGTTGCAAACATACAATATCGAAAGGCGTTCGTAGTTATGATTAGAGCAGATGGACTGATCAAAATAAATGATCAGTTTTCAGTAACTGGTTATTGGTCGAATTTTTATAGGTACCGAAGGGAGCCTCGATTGGAAAAGATTTCATATTGCGCGCTATTGGACAGTATGTGGAAGATGTGAAACCGATCTTATTGAAAACTGAGAGAGGCGATCTAATGTTTTTCATTGAAGACAATGAGGTACGTAACCGGTCAATCCGTTTTGAGATTTTTATCAAAATTCATCTTCACGCCAAAAAGAATATAAAGCCTTTCGTTAATCTTCATTATGAGTAAATAAGGCGAATTATCTGATTTATAGAATGAAATTTCAATATTTTGAACGTCAAAATAGTTCAGCTACTGACTACATTACTGTTTATTCAGTGCTGCTTTATTTAATGCTAGTTTAGTGGTTAATTATTTCATTGATTCATAGTGATTTATTCGAAATATCAAAGATTTTTTTTGGATTGCATCAGTTTGACTGAATAGAATTTTGTTCTAAATTATCATTATGCTCAGTATTGATTGTTGTGAAAGGATGAATGATATGATTGAATGCATTGACTTTTGTTATGATTGAATAATTTTTCGTTGAATTTATAGACGGCGCAAGCAATAAAAGCAATTTCTCGTCGTGTTCGAGATCCGGCCACTAATATGGCCATAACATTCGTTGTGGCTCGGCAGTCAGCTGGCTTTGCGTCTATCTCGAACAGTGAAAAACAACTAATTGAGGTAGCTTTGTCAGAAGCTGATTCTTTGACGCTTCATTCAATTATCACTTCTGACTTGTGTTACGTTCCTTATGAATTATTGAGTTTGTGGAGTTAAAGTGTTTTTACTGCGGTACATATTGATGTTTTAATGTCACTTCAAAATAGTATTTGATAAATGTTAACCTTAATTTATGTTCAGTTGAATTTTTCATGTTATAACGTTGATCTTTCTGATTGAAGAGTCCATTTCGGTGCCAGTGAATTGTTGTTGGTGTGATGTGTGCATGAATTTGAATATAGCATTGAATATAATTTATTCGTATTTCCCTTCAGACAGCTTTGAGGAAAAGATACAATCCAGAAACGCACGCGTTGGACTTGAGTGAATTCGGTCTTGATGAATGTTTGTTACATTTTCACTTTTTATCGATATTGTTCTTTCTAACCACGAGACTTATCGAATGCTACTTGATTTGTTTTAACCTCGAGAAGATACTGCCTTATCACTTCTCGAAACGTTGTTGATTAATTTTATCCATATCTCGAGTTGATGAGATTAAAATGTCAGCGTTTGATTCTACTTCTCAGACTCTTAATACCGTCGGTTTTCGATCTCTGATATTTTCTCCACCGGCGTCAACTCAACTTTCAAAGCGATAGCGATATAACATTAATGCTCTCCTCATAATCTCCTCACTAGAAACTTCTGATGCTCGGACATCTTCAAAATGAATGCTTTATCAAGTTAAATGCAAACATTTAGTGTTCCGATCACGATCACTTCATTTGGCGCTTACCCGAAACAACATAATGATGACCGTAGTGGATTTAATTGATAAGCATTTCAACGATGTTACGGCTCTGAGTATAAAGGTTATTTTGTTTATTGATTTTGATTCATTGTTATGCATTTATTTGCTTTCGAATGCTTTAATTTTATCAGTGTTTTTGTTGGAGAATTTGCACAAAATTAGAATCCTTCAAGAAAGTTATTTTAAGGGCAATCGTCTACGGTTTCTGGATTTTTTCGCAAATCTCTTGTATCGTTTGAAGAAAGTGAAAACACTGGATTTGTCTTCGAATCAGGTTTGTTATTGCCGTATTCTTTTGAAAGTTTGATTTTAGCTAATTCTATATCAATATTTGAAACTGTTTCGTACTGATACCATATCTCGGTCAGAAATTATACAGATGTACGGTTTTCCGTCGTTCACTTTTTGATTTCTCCATTTGATGGAAAACTGCGAGGAATTCGTTGCTTATTTATTGGGGATTTATTGGCACAAACAAATTGTTGTTGTGATGATTGAAAATTTTTGAGATTGATAAAATGAGTGAGTTGGATAAGTTGAAAGGATGGCCCGTGGAAACGTTCTTCTTCGAGGACAATCCCGTTTGTGGACAATTCACGAGTGCAGACGCTTACCTTAGGTTGAATTCGACTCAACAATCAACATTCATCTTTCTTTTTTTTTNTTTTTTTTTGACTTTTTACAACACTTACCTCATCACTCATTTGATATATTGTCTTTTCTTTCCAGTTTCAGAAATACCAGTTGTTTTTTATCATTGATTTATTTTGATCTCTTTTAAAATCTGCTGAATGATATTCATTTGTTGAATGTTTTATCAGTGACGCTCAAGATTCCCGAATTTGCTCAGTATTTTATTCGCCGGTTTCATTTTACAATTTTCCTCCAGATATGTTCAATTGGCTTTCATTTGTGATCATTTGTTGTTATATTTGAAGCTTTCGAATTACGGGTTTTCGGTTTCTTTTTTTCACTTTTCAATTCTGATGAATTCCTGATTCAGTTAGTAATTTTTTGCTGTGATTGTATCACGAATGCAGCGGTAGATTGATTTACGATCGTTTTCGTTTCTTTTAAAGCGATTTACGATTCGTTGTTCTCCTTTGAATGATGTGAATGTGTTGCCCATTGATGGGTTTTTACGGATTCTTGTGAAAGCAATTTTCTGTGTTCAGTTATCGTTGAAATACGAAATTCAGTTCTGGACAGGAATCTCCATTTTGTTCGTAATTAATTGGTCTTTTGCGAACATTTTCTAACTGCTTTGGATTGAGTGATGCCTCAACTGTTGTAAAATCTATTGTAAATATGAAATTGATCCTCTTCTAAAATTTTCATATGGTTATATCTAAATGATTCGATCAGACATGTAACTTTTAGTTGTGCTTTTCAGTGCAATTCATCATGTTTTCCCATCGGTCAGCATGCTGGTGAGTGATCGCATTTTTTGCTTTCGGCATTAATATGCTGTGAATTGTTTATTGTTTCTTACAAATTGCTATTCGCTTATTAGACGTATGGAGAAATAATCATTTCACGTGAGTGCAGTCCAGTCAAAGACTAATTGTTGGATAACAAACTGATAATGAGCAAATTTGGAAAGTAAATTGGGGAGTTTATATTANTACATCAATTGTTATGCTCTAGATGTAATATCTGTTCTGTAACAAAGCTGTTTTATTGTACATTTGCAATACAAAGCAAGAAATGAGATGTTTTTGAAAGAAGGATGTAGGAAGGAATCTTTTAAGGATGGCATACCAGTACAGCCTTCGAGTGCTGAACTCGCTTTGTTGGACAGTGAACCAAAACTACCTCCTCTCAAGGTGAGTGCCTGTTTTTGCTGGTTGATTCCTTTTTATTTTATTTCCTTTGTCCACACTCCTTATATTCCCGTCAATCAAACGATTGTAAGCTATTGACTTCATGTATTTGATGTGTGAATTTTTGCAAGAATAAGCACTGTGTTGTTTTCGAAAAATACTAATAGTAAGTAATCGATTAATATCCGTATCTGCGACACTTCACATAGTCGTGAACATCAGTGAAATAATTCGGTGTCGTATTTCTTCAACCGTCGTGTAATATTTCAGCCATCATTCTACGGCAGTGATGAACGTCGTGCTTTAATAGAAGCTTTCATAATTGAATATATGACCGTTTATGACGATGACAATCCGGACAATCGTAAAAATTTGATAAGTGCATATGACGAGAATGTTAGTTTTTTTNTTTTTTTCAGTGAACTGATCATAAATGTAGTTTAATGCTCGTTTATTCGCTCTCAAATTGTCGAAGGAAATAACAATAATACTGGTCTAATTGATTGATCATATCTTGTAATCTTAACAGATCATTTGTAAAAGTGCTGCATCATGAGGTCTTTGAGGTACCGTTTTCATTCTTTTAGGCAACGTTTTCATTGAGTATATCAAACTTACCAGATGCCAACGATCTGAGGCCGTACAAGGAAAACAGGTGATCGGATTTTTCATTGGCAGTAATTTCGAAGTGGATGAATATTTTTTTCTTCTCGCATTAGCACTATTTTATTGAGAATTGTTTATGGCTGCTTGGGACTTATTTAGACGACGAGTCCCGTCTTTGGTAGCTGCTAAAAATATTGATAATTGTGTTGACATTGGTAATTGAATGAATGGCATAAATGATTTCAGTACATATGCAACGTATGTGACACGTTCGCATAATGTCTGCTATATGCAGCGGTGGGAACGACGACGTGAGAAGATGTTGCAGAAGAGTGCAATGGACATCGTTGTTGAGTTACGCAAACTACCGCCGACGAAACATTTGATGGATACGTTCATTGTGGACGTGTCACTCGTTACTGTTCGTTTTATTTCATCTCTTGATTTTGAGTACTGATAACAACGTCGCTTATAATCATCCCTATAGCTCTTAGTTTTGGGTGCAAATTCGATCCGAGGAATATATGAATCTGTATGTTACGAAGTGTTTATTTATCCTTTCAAACCAATCAAAAATCAAATTCTTAGCGTTTTAGAGTAGAGAAATCTATTTTGATCCATTGTGAGCCTATAGGTTGGTTTGCAGTGAATGATGTAGATGAAAGTGCTAAATTTTAGGAAAATATAATGTGCTTCGCAGTGCAAGGTTTCTTTCGTGATGGAATTGAAAAGGTTGTGGAAAATGACGAAATGAAATATTTCTGTCGTAATTTTGTGGTTGCGAACAGAGGTGAAGGGTGAGTTATATTCATATTTGTTGTTTCGTTTGAAATTTATTCGTAATGGATGGTAGGATTATATGATAATTGATTGCATTGCGTTGCATCGATCCATCACGGTACAATCTGTAGTATTGAAAAAGTGCTTTATTGAATTTTTATTGTTTCAGGAAGATAGCAGTAATAAGTGATATGCTTTTCATTAGTGTGGTCTTCAAGGAACGTTTACAGCGTTACAAAATGATGCTTGGTAATCTGCTAAAGGTAGTTTTGATTCATTGTTTGAAAGAAAGAGAAATTTGTGTTCTTCTCTTAATTGCTTCGCTGCATATTTCATTTTAAAAATCCTTGTACAACGATACTTGAAGGTGTTGCTCCATCAAAATACTTGACTCATTTAAAAACAGCGCAAATATCTTGATTTGAGCTATTTGATTTTATGCTACTGTGATGTAATGTACATACTTGATAGGCTCCCACTGGCACTGAAGCTTTACCCGCGACATCAGCAACAATCAGCAACGGAATTACTCAAATGAATGTAACCGAATCCCAGCAGCCATCCACATCAGGTATTGCTAATCAACGGACACCGGCACAGTTGGCTGCTGCCGGTGATGAAACTATTCGACAACAGATGATTGAGGCTTTCTCTGCAGAAAGTAAAATGAAACCTGAGTGGTCACGTAAATGTTTGATGGATCAAAATTGGGATTATGAAGTTAGTCATTTTTTAAAAATTCTTTTCTTTTCGTTCATCATAGTCTTACTTGTTCAGAATAGAGGAACAATTCCTAAATAGCACAATCGTGTTTAAACAGATGATCTGGTTGAAAGGAAGTTGTTCAGTGATATTGGATGTATTTTATAGTGTCGATTACTCATAGATACCATCAAAAAGTTGTGACGTTCAAATTTGATTACAATCTAATCAAATATTTCAGGTAGCAGGAAAAGCATTTCTTGCCGTCCGTGATAAAATACCACCTGAAGCGTTCCAGTGACCAATTGAATTTACTTTTTATGAGCATTAATTACTCTTATCACCGATATCGTCATTGTATTCAAAAAATTGCAGTCACTAGTGCTTCACAGCGTTACCAGCACATCTCACTTCTAATTGTTGTTTGCTTGTAATCTGTGTTCTTATCTGACACTTCGGTAGTATAATTATTTTTCATTGTCAACATTTATGCTGGAACAAAATGCTTCTTCACCAACTCACATTCGGCTATTCTCATATACCTCAGTTAGAAATCCTCTTTTTATTCATCCCCGAAATTGCTTTTGTCATTTTTTTCTATAGAAACTCGTATCGTGGAGTATTTGCGACTGTCCTGAAAACGGTGTTTTTGGAATAATTCGCGTTCGTACAAGCTGCAAAAATTGGTGGTTTTTGTGAATTTATGGGGAAAATATATCGTGGCGAGAGTTAGTGTTGGATGCGAATGTTCCACGTATGTATATATAAACTTCGTTTATTATTGTATCATTGTTATTATTAATCCTTTATACTAATTTTTACTTTGTTTTTGTTCCGCAAACTCCATTTTGTTCATTCACCCTTAAGGTTTCTGAACTGAACGAGTTTTGCTTAGATACAGTTAGTTTGGTTGTAATTGATTTATATATGATATGTGCACTTGAATTCAGCTATTTATAGAGCAGCTGAATTCAACTGCTGATGTAGTAGTTCATATGTGGAATAATGTTGAATTTGGATCTTTTCATGTTCTTTTAATTGATGTTACATATTCCTTTAAAAATTATATTCATAATTTGTGAGTTGAATTTGATTTATTCATTTATTGGGATAACTTAGAAAAGCATTAAGTGCGGTATGCTCACTTAAATTAGCGTAAGATTTTGTATGGTTGAAGTTATTTCACATCATGATGACAGTGTCCTCGTGAAAGACGCTCTCTTCTTCATGTGTAGACTGTCCGTCAATCGAGATGTGTTCAGAAGTTATTTTTCACGTTATCATCTAGCATAGCACACTTATCGCTTTTCTTTAATCGTTGCTCTGTTGAAGTGTGCAGTTGTATTTTTTCATTATATTGTGTTTTATTTTTATTTGAAATATTTGTTTAAAAGGCGCTCTAGCATTCTGCGACTCAGGAAGTGGGTGAGGTGAGAGGGGTGGGGGGAGGGTTTCAAGGAATGAATATATACTCGCAACACAAACTAGAACGTATGCAGTTGTGTGAATTGCTCTTTTCGTATACCTCTCACGAATGAGCACAACTGATGCTAAATAATTACTGCTCATTCGTTGATTATTGCTGTACCCAAAAAAGTTGTCTGAATGAACTTTGGGTTACACAGCACCGTATTCGTTTGAAGAAGAGGAGTCATTGGGCGGTAATAAATGCCAGCTCCTCCATACGAATAACCATCATCGGTCACGAAATACGTGATCTTAATGGTCAAGTCAGCAGTTGAACGCTTACAATAAGCGTTAAGATGTCACATCTGTCTGCTGATATTACCCGCAATCATGTAATCCCATCGCTTGATGCGGATAATGATTCATTCCCTAAATAAACAGCAATTCCTCATAGCTGCATGAATTCGATGTTTGTTTGCGGTATATATCCATTCATTAGTGTGCAAATTCAATGAAGTTCTTTCTTATGCAGTAGCCGAAGTAACTTCACCCGAGTTTTCACTGCTATCGTCGTGTGACTAATGAGTTCTGAGGGGTTCAAGAAGTGAAGAAAAATCACCGTCGCAGAGTGCTATTGTATTTTTGTTCTATTTCTACGGTTTCTGGGCCTAATTTCTTAATTGTTAATTGTGGTCCACTGTAATATATTGACTGAAAATTAATGTTCACCATATTTATTTGGTTGTTTCGTTTNTTTGTTTGGATATCTGATGTGAGATAAATTTATGAAGTTCGTTCAGTTTTCGAATTGAATACAACAAACGAGATTACACACTGCATAGATCAGCTGTTTTTCTCCGTCTTATTTCACAAAATGATATGAATGGATTGGGATAGTAGGAGTTATTGAAATGCACCTTCATAGAAACTAGCTGTGAGGGGCTGAAAGCATGGGTTTTGAAATTAGAGTTTGTTTTAAAAAAGTCTGTTTCGAAGAAATACCACTCCTCTGAAATTACAATACTTGTAATTTTTTCTAACGTTCGTTTCATCGTTTCCTATCGATTACATTCCCATCGGAACTCAGCGCCATAGTTTTTATCACTTGAATGCCCTAATGCAACATCATTTTGATCAAGCAAAGTCTATCACGATCTGCGCGACTGATGTCAAAAATCACAGCACCACAAATCTTCCACAGTGATTGTTACGTTCGCGAATTCACTTCTAGTTTCAAGCGATTACCGTTTGTCGAGTTGCCCGCAGTTGTCCTCTCATTCAAATTGGTTCCGCTTGTCTGTTGTGACTCTTACCTCCTTCTATTATTCAAACAACCTCACTCATTATCGTTGTTTACAGCAGAACACTCCAGCTTGAAATTGTTTTTAATTCTAATTGATTCTTTCAATATAATCCCAAAAATTGTTCACATTTAATTTCATCACCATTGTAGTTTTAAGGAACTATGTCGTCATTAGTTCCCAGATATCTATCCCAGCCAATTATCCTTTCGTAATCGCTGAAAGCAACCAAGCCTCAAAATTCATGACATGCAGTCATATATGGATAGGTATTCTCAGGTAATGTTTTCTGATTTGGTGCTAAGAATCAACAAAGATTGTTGCTGACATAATCGCTTTCAACATATTTGTAGACTCNCGTAGGTGACCAAGAGTGTTTCTTTTTCAAATATTCGATGCCACTGAGCTAAATTAATTTTTTGATGAATTTGTCCGTCTAGAACATTTGCATTCATTCAGTTGTTTGGATTAGATGGCGTTCGAGAGTTTTGGCATCTTCTTTATGAAGAATGAGCAAGAATTTGTTGTGCTTGATTTCCTCTATTGTTGTTTTTTTAAATAATCTAATGTTCCATAATTTATATGTTCTATTAAGGGTATTTGAAATTTATGTGCTGAGAATGTTTTAGTAATGAGAAAAAGGCACAAGAACGATGGTAATAATAACGATAAATTATTAACAATCTTATTTTATTAATAACAGTCATAATTATATATCATCAAGAACAATAGCACCAAGATTTATTTGACGCTTTTTCACAGAAAGAAATATTTATTAGGTTTAAGAAGAGTTAGGCAGGACAACTGAAAGCATTGTACAATAAGAACACTTTAACTGCTATGGAACTACTTATAACAGATTTGGATGCATTCAATCAAGTACGACAAACAGATGACAATATTTGAATTTGACGAATCATTTATGAAGTACGAAGCACGACGAGACTCTGTTAATTAACTGAAAAAACGGTGAATGAATCCTTTCTCGTTCATATTAAACATCACACTGCGCATTCTTATTGAGCACACTAAGGTGGATGCATGAATAAGAGAGTGACTGTAATACTGCTGAGATTGACTGATTAAATGTTGTCGGTATGTTTCACGTCTTGTTTATATTCAACCATACAGTCGATGTTATACATGAGTTGAAAGAACGCTAGCTCATTATAAAGCACTTCAGAAATGTCGAATATTAACTGTTCGCGATCGACGCCAATTTTATAGCCGTAGTACTGTGAGAGTGTATCATCAATTATTGTACTCAACTGCTTCTCAAAAAGATCCGAACCAGAGCCGTTCGGGAAACAAACTGCTGCTGAACGTTGCAGTATAACATTACGCAGTTCATTCATAAGCTTCTCTGTTGCGACTGTCTCCGAATATTCACGTATCCATGGTACCACACCTTCGATTATACGGCATATGTCTTTTTCTAGTCCTATAATTTGGTTTTGAATATTATAGTCAGATGTCTAATCAATGGTCAGTTTAACTGACAACTTCGCAAAGAAAACTCAAAACAACAGAATCGGAAATGAAACCAGTTCGAAATCGAAAAGCTCGAAAAACTAAGAAGTTGTTGTAAATTAGGCAGTTGAAAGAAATGAATAATTTCAAGGTTATATTTCAACGCTTCATTGACTAATGACATCAATGAAAGTAAGGGACCCAGAAAACTTATCGTGATCGATACGTTTTCTGGGTGATTTGGCCATCACCTTTAAGAGCGTGGCCATCATCACCTTTAGGTTCACTTTCGTTCGTTTCCTCGCCATTCTCATCGCCCGTAAGGCATCGAACTCTTTCCAATGTTCGTTGCTTTTGAAGTTTTGCCTTACCCGAACTCAGTCGTCGTTTCGCTTGTTCGATTCGCTGAAGGCGATTATGAATGAAACCCACTCATCTCTCATTCAATTTCTTCGCTGTCAAGCGTTCCCTTTTAGATTGTACCGTTTTTTGGAATGATTCTAAGCTTATCGACCATACGAAATGTCCAGTGAAAGCCGCGAAAAAGTGGAACAGCATGAGAAGAGTTGACAATCAAAACAGTACTTGATCTTCAAAAGTGGTCGATTGTTCGTATGGGTAAACGCTGTCGAGAATTGTTGATGATGAATGAAGGGAATTCGTTCGAAGTTTGATTGTAACCGATTGACTCACTTCGGAATTTGCAATCGGTATGAGTTGTTCGTCGCCATTTCTAGTGCCGACTCTTGCTGCTTGATCGGATCCGTATTTGCTAGCGTCTAACTGCAAGCAGCAACAACAACAAGATCATCGTTGTCAGTTCTTTTTATTCACTAATTAAACGACATTGAATTGTTCGCTCGTTTCTAAGCGAACAATTCCGAATGAAAGATTGGTTATTTCAAACACAAAAGTGACGAATTCATTTTATCATTGAGCGTGAACGCATTTAATTAAGAAGTTTCATTTGCCATCGTTCGCTCATTCCGAATGCTTCAGTTTCTCACCGTGTTGACAACAAAACGCTACAAGAGGTGATGGAAATACTTATGGCGTTACGAAAAAACCTATTCTACTTTATCAAACACTTTTAAGAAGTTTATTTGGAAAAACTTTTCTCACCTACTTGAAATTCGCTTAAAATTTGTTGAGGGAAAACGTAAATGAATAAAAGTGGAATGCAACTGAATTAAAGTATATATTCACGAAGTGAAGTATCCTTCTTTTCAGGAGTGAATTCACATCAATCGCTGTACTCAAATTGTTTTCAAGAAGTACAATCGTTCATTTAACTTGTTTAACGAACAAATCTCCCATTTCGATTTTTCTGAAGACTGAATAAGAGCAAA